AATACTTTGATTATTTTTAATAGGACCACCTATGATTTTCCCCTATGGAATACTTTACAAGGGTCTAAACTAAGACATCTAATAGTATCAGGAATAAATTGTCATGAATTGAACTTAAGATTTTATTATTATTCATTTTTTTCCATGAGGGTGAATATTACTTCCTCTTTGTCCTAAGCTATTAAAAGTATACAAAAAAACACTTTGATAATATTCCTGAACATACTGTTTCCTAGGGTCTTTAGAGTAAGCTAAACTGTGTAGTGGAGCAAAAGTTAGCTTGATTTGATGTTCATAACTTACAAAACAATCCAACTTTATTTTGCCTCTGACTTTTAAGCTTGACTCACAATAAAATAAAATAAAAATCGATAAATGCGTCTTGTGAAACTATTTAAATGTTTATCCACCCAGCAACTTCAAATGTCTTCATATAGAACACAAAACTGTTACCTTTTCTGTTCTTAAGCTAATAATTGTGATACAATACACAATTTAAGATTCTAAACTAATGCCATCTGTTGCTATGAATCTAAAAGGTAGTGCCTCATTTAGTGACTTTCATCACATTAAAACCAGGTCATTTGGACTTGTGAACTCCCAGTAACCCATAAAAATCCTCTAATTTCTAATATGGAATTAGAAATTAGAATTCACATGTTCTTAAAATGCAAGCCTCAAAATAGTGATTCCTGAGGCTCAAAATTAAAAACAATTTTAAAAATATTTAACTTTAATAGAAATCAACCCCAGGCATTCATAAAATTTAACATTTTTTTGGTTTTTTTTTTTTTTTAAATACATTTTATTGATTTTGTACAGAGAGGAAGGGAGAGAGATAGAGAGCTAGAAACATTGATGAGAGAGTCATCAATCAGCTGCCTCTTGCACACCCCTTACTGGGGATATGCCCGCAACCAAGGTACATGCCTTTGACTGGAATCGAACCCGGAACCTTTCGGTCCCCAAGCTGACGCTCTATCCATTGAGCCAAACCAGTCTCAGCAAATTTAACGTATTTTGTTAACTTCCTGCTTTGGACCTTATGCTCTTTACTGACTGATGGTCCATATAGGAGGACCCAGCAATTAATATGTTCATTAGAAAAGGGTTTATTCTACTACTATAACTATATGGTATATATTGGTAATACCAGAATACACAATTTACTTGTCTCTTCATATTATACATAATTATAGGATTCTAAAGTTTACTTTTATTTTAACAAGTCTTACAAGTACTTATTTTCAGGGCTATGAAACAAAATTTAATATATGTAAATAAATTAAATGCTCGTTAACACTCCACCAGATTTTCCTTTAAAATATCTGACAGTTATAGTGTAGAGTGAAGATAACTAGGTCTGATTATTTTAAGGAAACCCAGCTTAATAATCGTAGCTTTCACATGTTAACCAAGTTCAGGGTCCTTATTTTATACTGTCTCAGATTTTAATATTAAACGCAAGCTAAATCAATATACTAAGCAAAAATTATGTTTGGTTCTCTCTTCTATAAAGTCATCTATCTACTTAATAAATTTTTTAGCTTATAATTTTACAATTTTTAAATTACTATAAAAGTAATATACTTGCAGAGCTTAAAACTGCAAATGAAAGTGGAAACAAGTAGAAAAAAAGAAAATAATAAAGGTCAAGATCGAAACCAATGAAAAAGAAAGGAAAACAAAACTGATAAGATCAAGGGGGAGAGAAAACAGAGATTACAGTGAATAGAGGCACATATGAGAATCTAAGAGTCCTCTATTAAACCAAGCAGCAAAGACCGAAGCCTGAAGTAATGAGTTATATATCTTTACATATAAAAACATAAACCAATCTCATTCTTCTTGCTATTGTTTTATAAAATAGTTTCATTATGTTATTTACATTAACATATAATGGTTTATGATTTTTATATGAATTAAATTTTTTAGAAGTTCTCATTTTGTTTTTGAGAGACAGGAAGGGAGGAGAAATATCAATGATGAGAGAATTATTGACCAGTTGCCTCCTACACGCCCCCTATGGGGATCATGGGGATCGAGCCTACAACCCAGGCATGTGCCCTGACCTACATTTGAATCATGACCTCAAACACCAGCTGGGCAGTTTGTTCTAATTTTGAATACATTAAATTTGGAAAGATGTTACCTATATATATAAAAGTTACTTGGGGTCCTCAATAATTTTTATCCTATAAAAGGGTCCTGAGACCAAAAAGTTTGAGAACTTTTGAAAATAATTAAGGACATTAAACACAGTAGTAATAAAAATGAAATGGTAAAGACTAAATAAAAGATAATTCAGAGAAAAAATTGATATAATTTTAGGGGCAAAATGGGGAAGGACACAAAGAATAAAAGTTCAGCCTGAATGATTTGGGAGAATAACAGATTAAGATATAAGGAAATTAAAAAGAATTATGTTTTGACACGTCAGCCAAGCCGCCAAGTAGAGACACAGATGAAAATGAAATATATAAAGGCTGAGATACAGTTGATGGTCAGGCTGTTTTGGTTTCTTGGATTACTTGTCCCCAATTCCTTGTTGGGAGGACTTGTAGTTTCTTCTGAAAACAATCGCTTATACCACAAATTCTAGAAGCTTCTCGGTTACATTATTTTTACTGAGTGCTTTTTTAAAAATTTCCTTAGTGGCAGTCTGGTGTAGTTGTAGAGGAACCAGGCAAAAGAAAAAACAAACAAACAAAAAAAAAAAAAACCACAACTCGTACTCATTACTCACTTTCTCTGGAGTTCACATTCTTCTATTTATAAAATAAAAGGGAAATGTGCAAAGTTAATCTGTAAGGCTTCTTCAGATCTAAAATTTTATGACTATCATCCCCTTATCATGGACACACACATATCCCCCAGCCTACAAAGCTACAGAACTAACCCAGATATTACCCACAATACCTTTCCCAATTAACTGTGTCTGTTATTGCTCCTGTGTAAGCTAAGACTATTGTTAAACTTATTGTGAAAGCCACCTCTTTAGAATTTTAAGAGGCGGCCTGAATCTTGTATTCTGTCACCAAATTTGACTTTATCTGTCTGACTGGTAGACTTCTTGATTTTGCAAATTTTAAGCATATCCTGCTCTGACACCTACTTCCCTCCCCCAACTCCTACCTACCCACCCCTTCCAGGCTAAATAGTTCCATGTTTGTTTTGCTTCATCTTAAAAACCAATCCTGTCCATTCCACTGATCTTTTAAGTTGCCTTTTGCTAGAATTTCTTCAATTCTGTTAAGTCTTTCTTGAAGTCATGAGATTAAACATGAAGTACTAATTGCAGGCTGAATAATGTTATAGGGAAAAAGCACATCAGTTTCGTGGGCCCTTTGGTGGCAATGTATCAGGCTGGAATTGCTTATGAATTAGTTTCTAGCAGTGCTTATCTTTCATTTTACCAGCAAAACAACTCTTTTATCAATGAAATTGAATAGGATACCCTACAGTATAAAACAGGCCATAACATGCAACTGCTGACGGGTTTGTTGAGGCCTGAAGCCCCAAAGATTGGCTCAGCCCTTGTCCCTCCTTCAGATCTCATCCAACCAAGGCCCTTTAAGATGGTGCCCAGCAGCATGAAGCACACATGGAAATCCATAGCACTGTTATGTATTAAAGATGTCAATGTACATGTGAGAATCAAATTTCAAATAAATTACTCAGAAGGCCTCTTTACTGCAACATCAATAAAACATTCACCTCAATTTACTCAAACACACAACACTTTTTCACTGGTGCATTTTAGGGAAACTGCCCTTTTTGAAGTCAGGAATGGATACAGCATTCACTTAAAACAAATACTGACTATAATAACTAGTAATTCCTCCTATAATAGATGCCAACATAGTACAACATATCCAACACACATTAGCAGTGATTAAGATTAATTTTTATTGCACATTTGCTTAAAAGTTTGCTTCTTTCAGGTAGAGCTAAACAAGTATTGAGTTAGTTTCAGTCATTTTTCCATCATCTGAATTACAGCAGTGAATTTCTGGCATGTTCCCCTAGACTCATGTCCCAGAAACTAGAACATTAGCCTTTCCTATCTGTCTAGGTACTGGAGCACAGATGTAACATTTTCTAAAATTATAACCACTCAAAAACAAACAGCACACTGTAAAGAAAACAATGCATATGTCTTCATATAATAAAGGCAACTATAAACCCATCTTCTAAATTATTTAATTCTTTTAATGTATAATTAAACATTGATTCAGAAAATTTTAACACTTTGGAAAACTGATTCTCTCACAATTAGGCTTTTATAAGGTCTCCCCCTCCCAAGCAGAAACAACCGGCAATGACTCCAAATCTTATTGAGGAACTATTATCTGAGATTAAGCTGTTCAGTAGTGTTCCTACTTCCTTCCCATGGTACTGCACAGTTTATTGCAAATGGAGAATATGCTATCCAAGCTGATATAATATGGCAATTTGAGCAGTTCAAACTTTAAACAGACTAGAATGTTCATAGCTTGATGAACAAAAATAACACAAGAATGGAAAATTACTATAGTAAACACAAAATTTTGGCCATTAATGGAGCAAAAAAGTAATGGCTAATACTCCTACTTTAAGATAGTCGATATTATAGCAAAAAAGAAGTGACAACAGCTATTTGGCAAAAATCTTCCAAATTGTCCCAAATTTTCAAATGGGAAGTTATTTTTAATACATCACTCAAATTTTACACTTCACTCACTCACATTTTCCTTTTCAGACCTATTCAGAAGAAATTATTCTATTTCAACTTAATCTAGTTTTTCCTGACACACTTTTAAAGAAAATTACTAAAATCGAAAAGTCTAAGTAACTTTTTAATCACTCAAATATTATAAGCTTAAACTGCAGTATAGAAATGAGATCTTTCTTACTCTATCTAGAATGATCTTGTTACCAAATTTGTGAAAACTCTATTCCACAGCTTTTCTATATAACAATCACAATTTATGAAAAATGCATCTCAATTCTACAGCAAACTAGAATCCATGCTTATTCCACATAGGTACTGCTAGTGGTCCCTGCGGTGTCCTTTCAACAACGACAAACTCCTCAGGATTGCCAAATGCCTCATAGTAAACCAATAAGTCTTGTATTGCATGCTCCTCAATCTGAAAGGAGGGAAGAAAAAAAGGACTTGTTTTAGTCTTTTAATTGCCAACTGAGGAGGAGGATGTTAGCATTCCATTTTCCTTCTGTTGAACTACCACTGTCTGGGAATACAACATAGTGGAATTAAAATTAGGCATCCTACTATGCCCTTGGCAAGAAGCAGGCTTGAGGCCTCAGCAAGAATAATCAGATAACCACCTTTCCTTAAATTTTAATCTTGAGTAGAAGAAAAAGAAACTGAAAATAGTTGTTAAAATCCATTCATGGTGAGATAATTTCTATTATTGTTCAGGTCTTTGAACTTTTGCTTCTCAGATCTTTAGGGCAACTGTGGGTCTTTGTTTCCAAGCTTGGCCCTTTGGTCTTTCAGCTTAAGTTTGTGGAATCTTAATATCCCTCAAATAAATTTTCTTTTCCTATCTAAGCCAGAATTGGTGTGTGTTGCTTCAAAATCTCAATGATTCTTAATGAACTTCCAAGGCAGGTGTAATATGCTATTTAATGCCAAATTCTCTACAGGTCACTCTTAAAACAGTTCAAAGAATCACCAGCGCTAAAAATATTAGCATTATCACAATTTATTTTCTAAATTAGTTATCCTGAACACATCAATACTTAAATTGCTGAATCTGTTTACTTTTATATTGCATTTGCATTTTAATCTGACAAACATATGCACCTACACAGAGCAAATAAACATAATTTCTTAAGATCTAAGGATAAAATGTAGTGTAGACTCCCCTAATTTAAACCCATTTAGGCATATTCTTTACCTGAATCAAAGCCAAGGGTTTTTCTCGACTTCTGATAAGTGCTGCTTCCTGCTGCAGTTCCTCTTCTACAATAGATGCGAAAGTGACTGGGGCCACAGGAGAAGCAGTCAGTGAAGAAGATAACCAGGGACTGAAAGAATAACAATAATGAGCTTTCATTCATCTTCCGGAAGTTCTGCACACAGTACTTCCTCTGAAATACTTTTTTACACTGTTACATTTTTTCCCCCAGTGACCTACAACATAAGGGACCTGGGAACTTTTGCATTCAGTTAACAGAATGATGAGGTGAGAAACAGAAAAAAGGAACTAATATTTTATTTGAATTAGTGCTGTAGATAAAACTTTGGAAAAGTCTAAAAAGTGAGATGGGCAGAAGCAATATAACAACAGAAAGGTAACAAACTGTGTAGCACAGTGTACTCAGAGAATACATTCTATCCAATATCATACTATTCCCAATATCTTAATATTCTCTTTCAGTGCTAAGCAATAGCCTATTTTTGGAGGTTCCAAAGCTAATCAAGTAACCTTACTTGTGACTTTCCAGAAGGGGTACATCTTCAGGTCCTGGGGTGCCATGAGCAGAGCATCTGCAAAACAAAAGCCAAACGGAAGACTAAAGCTTCTAGCTACACATCAGTAGCACTACTTATGAACAGGAATCCAGAGGGAGACTCCAATCCCAAGCCAGGGACAGATTAACATGTGCAGTTAGACTTACCTTTAAAGTTATAAAAAAAAGAAAATCTATATGTACTTATAATATCTTGTATATAATATACCATAAGAGAAGATTTTACAAGAAATGGTCTATTTTCATTTCTTTTTATAATCATGGAGCCATTATTATAATCAAACATACATTAAGAAATACAGACAACTTTGTGAAGAATGTTTTACATTAATATTTTGACTAAAAAGTTAGTTTGCTTCTTCTCTCCCTTTCTTTCTCTCTCTCTCTCTCTCTCTCTCTTTCTTTTTTTCCCTGTTTTCCAACTTTATTTTGTCATTACTTTTGTTCTTCTCTTTCTATCTCTTTATCCTTCTTTTTTTTTTATTTTCTTAATTTTTTTTTTAAATTTTAATTTTATAAAAAATTTTCTTTATTTTATTTTTACCTTTCTTCCTTCTCCCCTAACCCCTAAGTTGCCTTTCTCTAGTGGTCACCTTTATTTGAGGTTATTAATATTGTAAATACATTCCTGTTAAGTGCCTCTTGTGTTGTACCTGGTAGTGTTGTATATTGTACCTTTAAATCAACGCAGGAGAAGGAACACCACATAACCAGACACCCTGAAAAGAGAGGCCATGGGGAGACAAAAACATAGTCTGCACATAAAAGAAAAGCAGGCATCACCAGAAAAGGAAGTAGAGTCAGAGGCAACCAGCCTACCAGAGCAAGAATTCAGAATAATGATCATAGGATGGCTAAAAAGAATGGAAGAGAAATTTGACAATAACCAAGAAGAAATGAGGAAGAACCACGAGGAACTGAAGAAGAACCATGAGGAATTGAAGAAGAACCAAGAGGAAATGAAAAATGACATCGCTACCATGAAGAACTCAATAGAAAGCATCAAGAGTAGACTAGATGAAGCAGAGAACCGCATCAGTGAGCTAGAAGATAAGATGGAAAAATATACCCAAGTAGAGCAACTTGTAGAAAAAAAGATTAAAAAGCAGGAGGAGAGCCTACGGGAGCTTTGGGACAATACAAAACAAAACAATATTCGAATTATAGGGGTTCCAGAAGGAAAGGAAACTGAGGTAGACATGGAAAAAGTATTTCAAGAAATAATGACAGAAAACTTTCCTGAAATAGAGAAGAAAAAACCCACACAAATCCAAGATGCTCGCAGAGTCCCAAGCAAAATGAATCCCAGAAAACAGACTCCAAGGCATATTATAATTAAATTGGCAAACAACAACGACAAAGTAAGAATCTTAAAAGCAGCCAGAGAGAGACAGAAAGTTACATACAAAGGAACCCCCATCAGACTAGCAACTGATTTCTCAACGGAAACTTATCAGGCCAGAAGGGAATGGGATGAAATATACAAAGTCATGCAAAGAAAGGGTCTGAATCCAAGAATACTGTACCCAGCAAGGCTATCAATCAAAATTGAAGGGGAAATCAGGAGCTTCACAGACAAAAAAAGACTGAAGGAATTTATCTCCACCAAACCAGCAATGCAAGAAATGCTAAGGGGTCTACTGTAAAAATAAAAGAAATATTAAGTGAAGAAGGAACATGGGTATAGATTAAAAATGGCGTCAAATGAGTACCTATCATTAATAACTTTAAATGTAAATGGTTTAAATGCTCCAATAAAAAGACATAGGGTAACAGATTGGATAAGAAAACAAGACCCATACATCTGTTGTCTACAAGAAACCCACCTCAGAAAAAAAGATGCACACAGACTGAGGGTGAAGGGATGGAAAAAAGTTTTCCAGGCAAATGGAAATGAAAAAAAAGCTGGGGTAGCAATACTTATATCTGACAAATTAGATCTCAGATTGAAGGACATAATAAGAGATAATGAAGGCCACTTCATAATACTAAAGGGAACAATCCAACAAGAAGAAATTACCCTGGTAAATATATATGCACCCAATACAGGAGCAACCAAATACATAAAAAAACTGCTGGAGGACATTAAGGGAGAGATTCATAGCAATACAATCATAGTAGGAGATTTTAATACCCCTCTGTCACCCTTTGACAAATCATCTAAACAAAAAATCAGCAAAGAAATATCAATCCTAAATGACTCACTAGACCAGATGGAATTAATTGACATCTTCAGAACACTCCACCCCAAAGCCGCAGAATATACATTCTTCTCAAGTGCACATGGGACATTCTCAAAGATAGACCACATTTTGGGACATAGGCAAAGTCTCTTCAAATTTAAGAAGATAGAAATCGTATCAAGTATCTTCTCAGACCATAATGGCATAAAACTGGAAATTAACTACAATAAAAATAATCCAAAGAAATCAAACACATGGAGATTAAACAGCATGCTATTAAACAAGGACTGGGTTACCAGAGAAATCAAGGAAGAAATTAAAAACATCCTGGCAACAAATGACAATGAAAACACAACAATCCAAAATCTATGGGACACAGCAAAAGCAGTTTTGAGAGGGAAGTTCATATCCTTACAAGCCTATTGCAAAAAACTAGAAAAAAGGGTAACAGATGATCTAACTCTACAACTCAAAGAATTAGAAAAGGAGCAACAAGAAAAGCCCAGTGTAAGCAGAAGGAAGGAAATAACAAAAATCAGAGCACAGATAAACGACATAGAGACCAAAAAAACAATACATAAGATCAACAAAACCAAGAGCTGGTTTTTTGAAAGAATAAACAAGATAGATGAACCTCTAGCCAGGCTAACCAAGAAACAAAGAGAGAGGACCCAAATAAACAAAATCAGAAATGAAAGAGGTGAAATAACAACAGACCCCACCGAAATACAACAGATTGTTACAAAATACTACGAACAACTCTATTCCAACAAACTGAACAACCTGGACGAAATGGACATATTCCTAGAAAAATACAACCTTCCAAAACTCAATCAGGAAGAATCTAAAAATCTCAATAGACCAGTGACTTGGGAAGAAATTGAAACAGTCATCAAAAAGCTTCCAGCAAACAAAAGCCCAGGGCCTGATGGCTTCACAGGAGAGTTTTACCAAACATTCAAGGAAGAACTAAAACCTTTCCTCCTCAGACTATTCCAAAAAATCCAAGAGGAAGGAACACTTCCAAACTCCTTCTATGAAGCCAGCATCACCCTAATACCAAAACCAGATAAAGACAACTCAATGAAAGAGAATTACAGGCCAATATCCCTCATGAACATAGATGCCAAAATCCTCAACAAAATTCTAGCAAATAGACTCCAGATGAACATCACAAAGATCATACACCATGACCAAGTAGGATTTATTCCAGGAATGCAAGGATGGTACAATATCCGCAAATCAATAAACGTGATACATCACATAAACAAACTGAAAGATAAAAATCATATAGTCATATCAATAGATGCAGAAAAAGCATTTGATAAAATCCAACACCCTTTCCTGATAAAAACTCTCAACAAGGTGGGAGTACAAGGATCATACCTCAACATAATAAAAGCTATATATGATAAACCCACAGCCAACATTATACTCAATGGGCAAAAACTAAAACCATTCCCTCTAAGAACAGGAACTAGACAGGGATGCCCACTCTCGCCACTCCTGTTTGACATAGTACTGGAAGTACTAGCCATTGCAATTAGACAAGAGGAGGAAATAAAAGGCATCCAAATTGGAAAAGAAGTAGTAAAGTTATCCTTATTTGCAGATGATATGATATTATACATAAAAAACCCAAAAGACTCCATTAAAAAACTAATTGACTTAATAAATGAATTTGGCAATGTAGCAGGATACAAAATTAATGCCAAGAAATCCACGGCATTTCTATACACCAACAGCGAAACTATAGAAACAGAGATTAAAAAAGCAATTCCATTTACCATCGCACCAAAAAAATTAAGATACCTAGGAATAAATTTAACTAAGGAAGTAAAGGACCTATATGCAGAAAACTACATGACACTGAAAAAAGAGATAGAGGAAGATGTAAAGAGATGGAAGAATATACCATGTTCATGGATCGGTAGAATCAACATCATCAAAATGTCCATACTTCCTAAAGCAATCTATAGGTTCAATGCACTCCCCATTAAAATACCAACGGCATATTTCACTGACCTAGAAAGAACTCTCCAAAAGTTCATTTGGAACAATAAAAGACCCCGAATAGCCACAGCAATCCTGAGAAAGAAGGGTAAAGTAGGAGGGATCTCAATACCAGACTTCAAATTGTATTACAAAGCCACTGTTCTCAAAACAGCCTGGTACTGGCACAAAAACAGACATATAGATCAATGGAATAGAATCGAGAACCCAGATATCAACCCAAATCACTATGCTCAATTAATATTTGACAAAGGAGGCACGAATATACAATGGAGTCAAGACAGTTTCTTCAATAAATGGTGTTGGGAAAATTGGGCAGACACATGCAAAAGAATGAAACTAGATCACCAACTTACACCATACACAAAAATAAACTCAAAATGGATACAGGACTTAAACATCAGACGGGAAACCATAAAAATACTAGAAGCATCCGCAGGCAGCAAAATCTCAGACGTATGCCAAAAGAACTTCTTCACTGATACTGCCCCTAGGGCAATGGAAGCTAAAGAGAAAATAAACAAATGGGACTACATCAAAATAAAAAGTTTTTTTACAGCAAAAGAAACCATCAACAAAACAACAAGAAAGCCCACGGTATGGGAGAATATATTTGCAAATAATACCACGGATAAAGGTTTAATCTCCAACATCTACAAACAGCTGATACAACTAAATAAAAGGAAGATGAATGATCCAATTAAAAAATGGGCAATGGACCTAAATAGAATATTTACAAAAGAAGACAGAAAGAAGGCCAAAAGGCACATGAAAACATGCTCAAAGTCACTAATTATCCGAGAGATGCAAATCAAAACAA